AAGTTTGGCAATACATAGTAAAGATGGTAATATGAATTCCCCAAGAGTTAAAAATTTCCAATCTTATTTATATATGCTACAGCAGTGGTCTTCAGTTAGGAGGAAATGAAACTTTGTACATGGGAACAGGCTGCTTTATGGAAATCAGCTCTGCTCTCATATGTACTCTTCTAAATTAATCTGACTGATAATGCATCCAGGCTTGAGGCCTCCCCCCGCCCTCTTCCTTTTCATAATCACTCTTCACAGAAGACAGGCATACCAAATACAGAATCTTACTCAGGTGTATTGCTAAAAGTTATGAAACCTTGGGGACAAAGAGATAATCTAACAATTCCCTTAGTAAAAGCACCACAAATTATCCACCCCCACATATTTCTAATTCCATATCATCAAGAGTTACAATTATTTAGCAATTATTTATCAAAATTTCTAATATACTTATTGCTTTGATCAATTGTGTATGAATGATAATTCAGAAATAACTTACTCCAGAATAACTTTTAAACACTTAGAACACTGGGTCCACAAAAAATTTTAAATGATCAATTCTAATTTATGTACCTACTTTTGTTGCAAATAAGTATGGTACAGTTATCAACAAGATTTTTGAAAATAGCACTCCTCTCTGTACTATGACCCATTAGTATAAAATTTTATTGGAGAAGAAGAATGTAAATATGATTTGAAGGAGAAAAAGGAATGATAAAATTTTTAACTATTAAGGAAGAATTTGTTCATTAGAAAAGGAATGGTTGTGAATATCAAATCATTACGGTATTTATATTTCCACTAAATACACTTAGATACATTTTTATACAAAAACTGTGAGTTTGTACTTCAAAATGTAAATATTTACAATATGACAAAAATTACGTCCTTTATTATTTTAACATGATATATTTTCAATGTTTAATAATGTTAAAGATATTTTTCAAAAGTCTCTTCTGTGCTATGCAAAAAAATGAAGATCTCTTTCCTAGAAAAACATTTGAACACATACATCAGGCTAACCTGTATAATATTCACAGCAAATGTACATCAACAGAATAAATAAATTATGCTTACTATGTATTGCTATGGATGACTATATAATGGATTGACGCCTAACAATAAAACTGAACAAATTGCAGCTTCATACAAAAACATAAATGGGGCCGGCTCATGGCTCACTCGGGAGAGTGCGGTGCTGATAACACCAAGGCCACGGGTTCGGATCCTATATAGGGATGGCCGGTTAGCTCACTGGCTGAGCATGGTGCTGACAACACCAAGCTAAGGGTTGAGATCCCCTTACCGGTAGTCTTTAAAAAAAAAAAAACATAAATGAATCTCTGAAATTTAATGCTGAGCCAAAGCAGCAAGACACACAAAAAATTCCTATGGCATTATTTCACTTATATTCATATCTAAACAAAACTACATTGCTTAGGAAAATGTAATAAATTATATCACACTTTAAAAAATTCCCTCCTCCTTCCCTGTAAGAGGATTACCCAGTGCCATGTGCCCTACACTATTTCCCTATGGATTTTATATCCCTAACCCTTTGATTGTTGGCTTTTGCCATGTGACATGCTCGAGCCAATTAAACCCATTAACATAATGATGCTTCCCACGTTCAGAGACTCCAAGAGTTTCCATCAGTTCTACTGCTGTTTGGTGTCTCAAAAGGAATTGTTTTTCCAACCTGGATTCTAGAATGAAGAAACATGTGTAGTATATCCTAAGCCAACCATAAGCCCTCAACGATGCAAGAAATACATGTTTGCTTTTGTAAGACAGAGATGTTCCTACTATTTATAATGGCAGCTGAACTAGCAGGATGCAACATAGGTGGTTAAATTTTCTAGTAAAGCAAGAAAATAACCACCTATATCTATTAGATATAGAGAACAATGCTGCAAAATACAGAAATAAAGCTCCAGGAAGAGGAAACAAGAAGTGCAAAGGTCCCACAGCAAGTAACTGCTTGACAAATTTGAGGGTAAGCAAGGAAGGCAACTGTGAATGAGATGTGTGTGTTACATGGTGGTAACCTTTCAGTAAAATGAATTTTAGGCCCTCATATTGAAGCTACGGGGATCTCAGCAGTTTTGACTGGCCCTCAAATGTTTAAAATTAGCTGCAAATAACAGAGTCTCACTCCCAGGTATCTCTTCCAAGTCCAAATATAATGGACAACTCTGGATCAAAGTTTGGGAAATGCTTTAAGCAGCATTCAGAGAGATCTTTTGCATATCTGAATTGTAGTAAGTATATAAATAGCATCAGGGTGGGGAAGAGAAATAAGATATAAATTGGGCACACCATTACAGAACTGAAATAAATAAAGTTCTGGATAGAATACAAGGCTAGAAAGATTAGATCTATCAGGTAACACTCATGCTTGATAAGTGCTTTGAAACCTAACCCTTAATATCTAATACATTCACTTATAGATAAGATACAGAAAAAACATACAATGTTCACAACAATCAGCTGGTTATTCCCTGACAGAATATAGCAAGGGGCTGGTCAAGTTAAGTTGTTGAGCACAAGCAGAAAGTGATAGAATGGTTGGCTATGCAAGAAAGATTTATACCTCCCACCCCTTAGTTGTTTCTTAGAAGTGACTGCCCAACTACTGTACTTCCCAGACACCCCTTGCATCTATGTAGGGCTGTACAATTCGTTCTTACCTACAGAATAGTTGTTGGTGGTGATACTACTGGACCTAGCAAATTAAGCAGGTGAACCTTCTCTTTCCCTCTAACCCGTCAGCCAGCTTGAAGTGAAGGGTTGTGAACCCTGGAGTAGCAGTCATAAGATAGAAGACAGAAGGCACCTGGGTCCTTTGGTCACACCATGTGGAAAGCTGCCTTAACACCTATATCGGTTCCTTACAGGAGCAAGAAATACTTTTGTTTTCTTGAACTACTGAAATTTTGATGTTATGTATTATAGCACTTATTGTTATTTTAACAATAGAGTATTTCACTGGGCTCTCAAATGTTGAGCTGAGAGCAAAGTCAGGTAGCAATCTGTCTCTCCTTACAAAAGGGCATTTGTAAACTTTAAATCAAAAGTAAGTATGATTCCCAATTAGACTGTTAACAGTCCTTGGTTATCTCTGCATACACAGAGTATTAAGAGCATTTAAGGGATTCTTAAAGCAGCAGCAGAGGCTGCAGCAGTGGGACAAGCCCCAGACTTCTCAACTAAATCTGAGATACCCACACAACATTGGGAAAACTTCAAATAGGATCCAATTCCCTCTAAGTTTAAGATGACTTTGTTTCAGATCCCTCAGTACATCTCAAACCCTCCTCCTCTCCACCCACAGCCATTAGATTCTTTCTCCGCCTTTGTACTCATTTGTTTACCAGGGAGGCTGCAACCATTCTAAGCCCTTGACAAGCAAGGAAGTGGGGCTTAGGGGCACAGAAATGGTAGCCTTTAGAAGAAAGAAGCAGAGGCTCTTTTGTCTCAAATACATACTCCTTAGCCCCTTTACTTTTCAACTCCCAGATGCCTATTAACAACTATTCTCAAGAGATTTATAAGTAGGATGTGTATCAACAATGCACAGGAAAAGGAGATGTTTTAAAGTTCCTTGAGCATCATTAGGATATATAGGCATGCCTATTGAAGTGATGTTTTCTTTCGGCAGCGATAACTCATTAATCAGGCAAGTCTACTGGACCCGGAATTCTTGCATTAACACTTCACCTGGAGAGGTGAAAAGGATAAAGGAGTGCAAGCAAAAACATCTAAGGACTAAAGTTCTGGCATAGGGTTCCACAGGTTGGGAGAAAACAAAAACTAAAGCAAAAGCTAGCTGACCTCTTATATCATTCCTGATAGAATAAACTTAGGTTAAAAAAACTTACCCTCTGGGCCGGCCCGGTGGCGCACTGGATAGTGCGCCGCTTGGGAAGCGCGGCGGCGCTCCCGTCCGAGGGTTCGGATCCCACATACAGACCGGCTCCAGCTCACTGGCTGAGCGAGGCGCGGGAGCAGCACCGAGGCTTGCGATCCCGTCGCCGGTCCCCGGTCCGGTACGGGGGCAACACTGAGTACAGCAGTTGAGTGTTTTTATATGAAGAGGCATTGGATTTTATCAAATGCTTTTTCTGCATCTATTGAAATGATCACTTTTTGGGCCGGCCCGGTGGCGCACTGGATAGTGCGCCGCTTGGGAAGCGCGGCGGCGCTCCCGTCCGAGGGTTCGGATCCCACATACAGACCGGCTCCAGCTCACTGGCTGAGCGAGGCGCGGGAGCAGCACCGAGGCTTGCGATCCCGTCGCCGGTCCCCGGTCCGGTACGGGGGCAACACTGAGGGTTGCGATCCGTTGCCGGACACGGAAAAAAGACAAAAAAAAAAAAAAAAACTTACCCTCTAAATTCATTGATTTTTCTATTCTTTTGAGGGAGTATTTCTGTTGCTTTGGTTGTCTGAAATCACTGGTAAATGCGCCCTTTGAGAAACTCATGTCTTCTGAGAGAAATGAGAGGAAGAGTAGAATTTCCACAGCTCAGCAGGCTCAGTGCAGTCTGATGATGTGTGGCAGATGTGTCTAGATGTGCGGCAGCAGCAAGCCAAACCAGCCGATATGCCCAAGAAGCTGGTAGAGGCTCAGCAAATACACTGGGCTTTCAGAGTCAGCAGTATCTTTTAACCCATTTCTTCCTGAGCTATACTTCAACATGCATCTTGAGATTTAACAGTCAGGTCTATGTTCCAGTGTTCTAGTAAATAAAGCAATTTAGATATCAATCTTACCACTAGCCACTATAATTTAGCTCTTATCTAAAGCCTGGGACAACAGAGGTCATCGTAACTACATCAAGAACAGCATTTACCTTTACTGAACAGTCCAATTGAGCTTGAAAGGGAAGAGGAAGAAAGTCAGACTTAATGTCACCAGAAGCTCAAGAATGAAAAAAGCAGGACTTACAAAGGAGGAGAATATTAATTACAAACAGTCCCCATGGTCTGGTCACATTACAAATATGTTGTCATTCATCATCAATATTTATTGGGGGCCTATTATGTGCAAGGCACTATGCTAGGCTCTGGGAAACATACAAAAGAGAAATCTGACAGACTGCCCTCAAAGAGCTTACAATCTAGCATAGGAGCATACAGTCTCTAGAGAAAATATATCAGGTATAATTAACTTCCCCCCACCTCTGACCCCTCAAAAGAAAGAAAATTCTTAAGTTTATTAGATTTGGTTTCTCCCACTCACTTTCAGTTCAGCAGCTTCACATAAAAAGGATAAATCTAAAAGTCTTTCAAAATGCGTACTTTTACTCATAAACAAAAGTGATTTTCCTTAGAAAAAAATTCTGAATATTTATTGCAATTAAGAAAAACTTCACCTATTTATTCAGTATTTTCATGAATTTTCTTATGAATCTGTCTTTGTGAAGTACACAATTTCCCAAATTGTATCAAAAACATGCAACAACTTTTTGAAACAGATCTCTTCAAACCACTGGCAGTCATATGTAATGTACACCGGCTCTGCTAAAAGGAAAGCTTTTGAAATAGATAAATGTTTGTTTACTACCAAAGTTCACAGCTTATGTTTTCTCCCCCATAAATCCATTTCATGTCAATTCAAAGTATTATAAAAGAACATCTCCATTAACCTATACTCAAAAGATCCAAAGCTTTAGATCACTAAGCTTTAGAGAGAAAATAGTAAAAACTGTCCATTATCATCTTAAAGCCAGTGCTATTAAATGGCTGGCCAGACCCACATGAGAACTATAAAATAATTCTAGGAAAAGAAATTCAAAATAACCCACATTCTTATTATACCTTTAGGAATTTCTGAAGTTTGTTATTTTCTTTTAGCATAAAGAAACAAAATGTAATCAACTAGGGGAATAAAAAACACTGATATAGCTGTTTGTCTACATTAAACTGCTAGAGCAAAGGGTATGTGAGCATTACATTTTAAAATTAATTCATTTTTAATCATAATTACTTTAAATAAGTATTCTGCAATTATTATCTTTTCTCAGAATCATCTCTGGGCTAAGACATTTCTAATCATACTTAGGTTTTTATAAGTCTGAAGCCTTGTGTCTTTGTGGAGATTTTAGGAGACTTCTTTAAAATACTGAAACTAAGGTAGACAATATGGTTATCAAACTGCACAGGTCAATTTTTTAAAATGTAGAATTACGGTAAACTACTAAAACTGTGCACACCCAAAAATGAGTTCCTGAGACAAAGGTTCCTTATTCCATGTTGGAGCACTCTTGTCCTGAGCAGTTTCCCTTAAGTAAAAACAAAAAAACTATCCACTGTGCTAGTTGAGCCATTCTACTTCTTTCCTCACCAAGCTCCAAAAACACAGGCTTGTCAAATAAACTAATTGTAACTCAAGTAAATTTCAACATTAACCTCTACCGCACTAAGAGATCCATTCATCATAGAAGTATAATGAGCTGTTAAACCAGTATCCAGGTCTGGTTGAGACTACAGGCTTACTGTGTAGGCCTTCCTTAATGAGAACATACCCGATTTTTAAACTTTGACACCTAGACATGTCTAGTATTTGCACAAAGTACAGTAAGTGAAGTTAAATTTTCTAGGTGTAAAATCTAACAGAAAAAAAGTTAGAACAACAAGGGTTATGAGCTAGTCTTCCAATCATCTTCTTTCTTCATATTACTAAAGAAATAAAAATAAACAGCTGTTCTGTTCAATCTTTTTGCTAAACAGGTAAAACAAATTTACCTGTTAGACTTGTGTGGTATAAAAGGGCCACCATTTAAGTTAACTAGTCCAACTCTGTCATTTTACTGATAAAGAAACTGAGACCTGGAAAACTTTAATGAAAAAGTCAAACCCAGTCTAGTATTCATGACACTAAACCTGTGACTTTTCTACTTCTTTGAAAAACTCATACCTACATGCTTTTACGTGAACTGTATACCTACATACAATAGCTGTTAAAATTAATATAATTAAATAGTAATGTATCTCATATGAAGTAAATATAACAAATGTTAGTTATTAAATTATTCTTAGAAAATATTAGCCCTTTTTTTGGTTACTGCTGTGTATCTACAGTGTTTGGTCTTGCTTTTAAGGGTAATTGATCTGCAGCTGCTACCTTTGAGGATGTTCAATTGCCCACTGCAGAAAAAAAATATGAGAAATATGATCATACATTCAATCATGTATTATGTATTTCTTATTTTTACATATATTTAAATTTTCTTACATTTTTAATATAAGCCAAATGAATTTATACGAAGAATGAAGTAAGATTACCTCCATATAAGTTTCTAACCATTGAAAATTAGTCAATTCCCTACAGGATGGGAAACCTCTTCCAGGAGTGATAAAAAGGGTGTCCAGGGTAACAAAAAATACAATGAAAAGTTTTAATGATATCTGATTAGATGGTAATCTGAGGTATGAAAGAAAAGATAAGCTTAGAGAATCAGAAGATCTGAGTTCAAGTTTTAATTCCATTCCTCGCTAGCTAGCTAACCTTGAAGCAATTCAATAAACCTCTGGGTTTCAGTTTCTTTATCTGCAAAAAGCTAACACTTGGCACTACTTACCTCATTAGATTATTGAGGATAACATACAATAAAATATATGAGAGTGCTTTGTAAATGGAAAGACACACCAGAGACATTGATTATTACACCAATGATTGTTAAAATGTGGACTAAGAAAAATTGTAAATAATTACCCCTTAGTGGTACTAGGCATGTTCACTAGAACAAACTTAACTCAGAGGGTAAACCATGCAAACATTTTCAACATTCTAGGTCAATCCTAAAAAATTATACAAAGATATAACACAAAGGAACATTTTTAGAGAAATCACTGAAAGACACACATTTGGTTGACTGAAGAGACTTTAAAATGAATCAGAATGTTTTATAGCATGTAAAGAGGTATTTAGTCTTTAAGTGGAGAAAGTTGCTAGTCACCTGTAAGAAAAAATAAGCATTATGGGCATCCTAAGACAAACGGAATAAAATTCCATGACTTTTGACTTTTTTGTAAACCAGGCTTCTAACAAATAGCTATGTGAATTTTTCCAGTAATCAACCATACCCTAAAAAAGATAAAAGAGAATGCCTACTTCTAAATCACATCCAATGTGAACTTGCATGAATGCAAGGCATAAAACACAGAGTTCTTATGACTCTACAGGCACCTGAAAGTTTTAACTACCTATCATGCTCGTTTTATATTCCATAAAGAATAATGGAAATACAGGGAATACTTCAAATACCTCTTTTTTACAAATCCTAATTATGTAGTTGTCTTATTCTTATAAGATAATACTCCACTCTGGTGGCCTGTGTTTGTAAAGTTAAATTTAGTAGCCCATTAACCTTTCCCTTCAAATATGCCTTTTGATTTTAGTCTTATACACCACCCCCCTTCCCCCAAAAGGTAACAACCAAAAACAAACGAAGATGCAAGGGAAGAGATAAGTGAGATACAATTCATTAAGTATAAAAATATGTCGTTTCAAATTCAGAATAATTTAATAACTCTTCGTTATTTCATATGTATCTGGAAATGGGACAGATACGTGTCCTGATCCTGTCACAAGAGGTAGAATTCCAGCATTTGGTACAACATTCCAAGATAGGGTCAAAGTGACATTTCTGTTTCCCCTATAAAAAGATATAATAAACAGAAGTGAGTAGAAATGCTTGGAGTTCAAAAAAAAGCCATTTTAAATCAAGCACTAAGATGTCAAATACTTTATTTGTAACTAGCTATTCTTAATAATAATCCTAATCTGCAAACAGAACTATTTTCTCATGTCATTTGAAATGCAAAATGCAAGAACAATGCTGGAAGATATCAGCAATATCCCATACTAACTAACCTTAATTCACTTACAGTTGCCAAAAAGCTTAAATGAGTAAAACAAAATGAATATAAAAAGAGACTGGAGCTAGGAATCAGAAGACAATGACTTGAAACCTAATTCTGTTATTACCTAGATGGGCAAACCTGAACAAATCAAAATCTCTCATGGTCTGAAATTTTCATCTGCAAATACAGAGGTTCGGTTTGGTCAAAATAGCTCTCTTCTAAAATCCTTTCTAATGTTTACTCATAGAACTTAAGATGTAAAAATGACCTGAGAAATCAATCATTCTCATTCCCTCATTTTACAGAAGGGTAAACAAAGTTTAGAAAAATGAAGGTAAGAGAACCAATACTAGAAAGAAACCTCAGTATCAACTCCTAGACCCAAAGCAATGCTTCCTCATTAAGGCTTCCCTGACCTACGTTCAGAAAAGAGCCCTTTAATTAGATAATCACAGCCATAACACATATGAGCAAGGCCATACTCCCTTAACCTGCACACTGTAGGCCTTTATTACATTTCATATACTGTAAGAGAACTGATTACTTATCTTAGATCCCAATTTGTATATCTACCCAATGTTCCAGTTCACATCCACATAAATACCGTACTTCTCTCCCAATTTTCCTTTTTATCCTCTAATATTTTTCTTTAAAATAAAAATACATTATATCTTTCTTTCCCTTTCACATCTTATTAAATGTAAAAAATGAGAAAGAACTGCTCACTTGAGACCATTTCCATCATCAAAGAAAAAATATTTTGTTTTCATATCTTTCAACAGCAGCTTCGGATTATCACCTCTCAGAACAATCTTGTCCCAAAGGACAACTTGGTTCAGAGCCTAAATTAAAATAAAAATTAATTAGGTAACTCATCAGACATAGCATCTTATTTCAAATTAAAAGTATTAGTAAGCAAATTGTTTGACATATTAATGAATCCAACTTTAAAGAACTTGCTAAAATCTTAAAACATACAAAACAATAGCAAGTAGACAGATAGATATAAGAAGGGGACAAACTTTTCATGGAGAGAATATTCCCCTAAAGGAAATCATTCCTTTTGCTAAGTCATCTGTATTACTTAGGGCCCTCATAGCTTAATACAAGACTGTAGATCTACATACTCTCCAAAAAGTGAAGCCCTGGAAGGAATGAAGGGAGTAGAATCGCTGTAAGAAAGTACTCTTTTAAATAAATCACTTCCCTGTAAAACTTCTGATACCCTCCAGCTCAACATAGACCATGGATGGTGCCAGGAAAAGAGAGAACTGATCCCTAATCTCCAAGATTTTAAATTATCAAGGAATCCCTAACGAAATGGAGCTTTTTAAAAACATGTTTTCCCTTTAAATTAAAAATACATATGTGTGCATCATTGTTTTATCATGGAAAGATTCTAAAGGTCAGACAATTCTTTTAAGCCACTTTTCCAACAAGTTCCATCTGGAAAATTAGTGGTGTGAAATGGAAAGAAAACACATTTGTGACTGCTACTAAATCCCAAGGAATTTGTTCTCATTAACCTATCATCAATTAGCTTGTGAGTCAATTGCTCAGTGTGTGATGACTATATTAACTAAAAAGAAATGTGGAGCAGTTATTTCTAAAAGACAGTTCAAACCTATACCTTAATGCCTCTCTCTAACATTAAACAGAAACATTAAGACTGAAGAACACAGAATCAAAGATATGTTGAAGTGAATGTCTTTTTATATAGATCTATTATTCACCAAAGCAATCACTTGGCAAATTCCAAATTAGCATTAATTTGCTAGTTATGCTGGGGTAAACCAGAATTATAACTATAATTTAGGTATACCCATCATTAAAAAGGTGACATTTATTCCAATAATTTGTTGAAATTTGTGGAATATGTGTATTTATAGTTGTTACTCTTATATTTGAGAATAGCTTTTGCTTTTGTTTCTTTTAATATTTTATTTATTCAGAAGGGCAGAAATCAAAACTTATCCCAATATTCCTAGTGCCTAACAAAATACCTGGCATTAAATATATGTTCAAAATAAATGTACAATGAATTGAAGTGCTAAAAATTCCAGTTAATTAATCAAACCATTAAATAGATAAAATCAAATGTGTCATCCCTCTGAAACAAATACAGTTCAAGTAAAAAAAAGAATGTAAACCCACCTTTAACTACAAATTATTTCCAGGCTATATTAATGACAAACATAAAAATAACTAAGGTAAAAACAACATTTAAGCACATTTTAATTCCACGTATTTCACTTTTATGTTTTAAGTCTATCACTTTATACCTTCAATATCAATACTGAAATAAAACTTAAGATTTGTTTTAGCAATACTCTATACAACTCTTACCCTACCTGCAACAAAAGCTCTTAATCAGACTAGACTAATTAACAGCTTTCAATCATAAACTAATAGTTTTAATAAGTTTTAATCTAATAGTTTAACAGCTTTTAATTATAGAATTTATTATAAACTATAATTTATGATTAAAAAGACTAGTTCAAGTATTCAAATTGATGAATCCCATACAACTCCAAAACAAAGAAAAATCATTCTCAATAGGTAGAGATATTAACTGTAGATACATGGCTTGATAAGACTACCAAAACTGCTTGTGCCATGTATTAAAAAAAATGAAAATTATAAATATTTGGTACTAAGATGGATTTTCAAATAATCTCAGAAGATTCAAAAATTTTTAACAATCTTTATAGCTCTTGATTACGTATCTTCATAATGAGAGTTTTAACAGATCTCAAATTTTGTTGATTCAAATACATTGCCATGTAGCTCTCTAATTATACCTGGGGAGAAAGAATATTTTAGCTTAAAGAGTACACAGTTGAGCAGCAATACTACGTTCCCATTCCCTAGGTAACACATAGTTCAGCAACATCCTTTCTGATATTACCATTCAAAGTGGTCTCCAGGAGGTTTTGATCACAAATTATTCTGAGCACAAACCCCCAAAATATGCATCTTTATTTATAAATTGTATACATAATACATGTGTACTATTATTATTAGTTAATACCATCGATAGTGAATGTAAACTTCCATTTTGAATAGTCTTTTTGACCAATGTTGACTTTTCTCAGCCAACTTTTTATTTGATATACTCAGGTTATTTTTTTGTTTTTTTTTTTAATCCTTTAATATTTCTTAGAACTGCTATTTTCCTATTGTTATCATATGCTTGGAACATGAGCACTATCTTCAATGTGTGATTTCTTTGCAGGAATCTTTTTAAGCCATTTTTCCATTTTGTGATGACTGTTTAAAATCAGTACCTAAATACTGCATATACTGCAATATTTTGCAAAATGCTCAAAGTGAAGAAGCTCTTAATTGTTTTGCTTACATACCTATGGATTACTTTGCATGCACCCCATTCTGGAGACCACAATGCTGGGCAGCTACAGAACAGACAGAAAAAAAGGACAGAGAGGCTACCAAAGGTGATAAAAGTTTTCTTAATAGAGCCATCTCTTCATAGTCTTGTGATTTTTTACTAGGCTACACAAGTCACATATTTGGAATACATAAAATGTATTATTTCATAAAGAAGAAGATTTTAAACAGCTTTTAAAATATAAATACATATACTTACATTATTTTTTGTTGAATATTCTGCTGATAAATAAAGAAACAATTGTTTAACATTCCAATCAAATATATTCTCTAGATGTAAACAAATTAAGGAATATATAAATCATACAGCAGTACACTACTTTTAAACAGAACTCAGTTATTCTTAGATTAATTATCCATAGCGATATTAATACTAAAATAGAAAAAAGAAGAGATGGCCCACAAACATACTGAGCCACTAATTTAATAAAAACAAACATAAGATATATATATTATAAAATCCAGCCAATTCCAAAACCAAAAAAACAAGTTTGAGATTATCCTCTCCTACTCCTCCAAGCATTACTAGTTGAGATACTTCGATTAATAAGAAAATAACGATGGAATCCAAAATTTAGTTTTCTGTAAAATCAACTCAATAAGTCCAAAAGAAAGAGGACTTAATATTTCAAGCACATAAGATTCTGCTGGAGCTCTAAAGCATAATCAAACACCACTATTTAAATTTAACAGTACACTAACATGAACAAGGCTCAAGTAATTAACCAAGTAAAATAAATTATGCATGTTGCTTTTGGTCTCATGCCAAGAGAGATCAAAATGTCTCAACATATGAAGTGCTCTGGTAAGATGCTGCTCAACAATATATAGTTGCATTCAGCAGGGGGTGGGAAAACTCACCAGAATTAGATACAAAACTGGTGCCACTATTGAAAAATGAGCCATTAATATTTGGATATATTATATGTAAACTTCTAAGCCACTTTATTATACGTGTTTACTGCTCAGTCATTTTATTACTTGTGCTTACAAACTGATAGCAACACATTTGCTACATCCCACTTGTAAGAATGGGTAGCCACTAAGACTCACTTGTTTTTTTTTTTTTTTTTTGACCTTTTTGTGACCGGTAAGGGGATCGCAACCCTTGGCTTGGTGTCGCCCGCACCGCACTCAGCCAGTGAGCACACCAGCCATCCTTATATAGGATCCGAACCCGTGGCGGAAGCGCTGCTGCGCTCCCAGCGCTGCACTCTCCCGAGTGCGCCACAGGGTTGGCCCAGAATCACTTGTTTAGAATTGAGAAGTCTAGGAAAGCTCTTTACAAGAAGAGGTACAATTTTAAGTATTAGCAGCGGCATTAAGAAAATCTAAAAAAAGTACAAATAATGAGATTGATAATATATAATACAGTAGTTGAGCTATCAGGAAATTTCACTATAATTCTCTAGATACACAAAATTACTATTTTCACACTAGATCTAAATTTCTTAAATTTTTTAAAATGACATGAAGACTTAAAAGTACACATGCAAAGTTTAGCATAAGACTTTTCTGATAGCACAATCTATTTTCTGAAAGGGTGCCTATAGAACTAATTCCTAGTCTACTTATAAATCCAACAATTGATTTCTAAAAAATTAAAAGTAATTCCATGGTAGTAGAGAGACATATCAGGTCATCCCACATATATGATCTGCTTCAACTATTCAGATAGTTGTTTTACACAAGTTCAGACTATTCAACCTACATAACCATTTTTAATCATGGTGTCTTAAAAAGGTAGGTGAGATCAGGCTAGAGATGGCAGAGAACAACACTGTCAAGATATTAAACTAAGACCCTAAACACGACTAAACTAGCCAAATTGATGAGTTGTCAAAAGGAAACTCAAGATAAAGAAAAAATATTGAAGTTATCCCCATTAAGGCAACTCTTTTTTTTTTTTGTGACCGGTAAGCGGATCGCAACCCTTGGCTTGGTGTCGCCCGCACCGCACTCAGCCAGTGAGCGCACTGGCCATTCCTATATAGGATCCGAACCTGCGGCGGGGGCGCTGCTGCGCTCCCAGTGCCGCACTCTCCCGAGTGAGCCACGGGGCCGGCCCTAGGCAACTCTTTTACTTAAGATTTTTCCAACTTCTATTACAAAGTTCTTATAAAAAGAACCATAATAGCAAAATGCTAATATGGTTTTTAACCAGTAACCATTTTGATATGGGTTTTCAAACCATTAATAGATGGAATTCACTTTTTAAACACATGCTTCTCTCTGCTGTCATATAACATGGGTATATTCTTTAGGTCTGCATTTGAAATATTTCTAGGCAGGCTGAGCACTGTAACATTTTTCTTTCTTTAATCCAAATGATCGAATTTTATTTATTCTTTCCAAAATACAGATTCAAACAGTCTTGTGTAGCATTTGGTCAATTTAAAGTTTCTGTGAAGAATTTAAAGTACATTCACACAACTAACTCATGAATCTATGGTTTTCTCAAAGTGTGAATGAGGAGGTATTAACACAACAATCCACTAGAATTTCCAAAGTTTGTCTGATTTAATGGAATAGTCATATTCAATGCCCCTCAAATCGCTAAACAATATGTATTTCATTATAAAACTATAGAAAAAGCAATGAAATATTTTCTTAAAGGATATCAGCAGTTACATCAAATGTAATGAATCCCAGATCACTTCTTTCTCTAGGTCCAGTGAAGTCTTCTACATTTTTTCTGGAAGTAAAGATAAAAGTTTTACCATCCTTCAAACATAACAACATACAAAATTCACATAATTCCTTACATAAAGTGAAAGATAGAATCTAGTTGCGTGCACAGGTGAAACAGCAATTCCACAAACAAGTAAAAATCTGAGAACCCACAAGTATGAAAACATAACAAGCATTCTAATCCAATCTAAAAGAAGTTCCTCAGCTATTTTCATATACCTTAATATCTAACAAAACCCAGAAAGAGATAAAACTGCTAAAAGGAACTGTAAATACCTGCTGTAAAATAATTTTGTAGAATGGGTAGAAGAGAGTTACACATGACTACAAGGTGGTGGGGGAAACTAAGATGACAAACAACTGCTATTTATTGAATGCTTACTATATGTCAGATCCACTATGTATTTTCACAATTATCGCAAATAATTTTCACAACAAGCCTACCAGTTAGGTATTACTTCCATCCTAAGCAAAAGGAAACTAAGGCCCATAATGGTTAAGAAACTGGCTCAAGAGAACAACTGCTAACATTTGATTAGTGTTTAACCCTCACAGAGCTGACAGTAGCACTGCTGATTTCCACCCCGGTCTATTCGAATCTCAAACAGTATCTAAAACGAACATCAATACAGAAAAAAAAAAAAAAAAGGCGGGGGGGACGCTATTAGTCTGTTGGCGACTCTGACAAAGAAAGTAAACTGAGGTCGAAGAACAAGAGAGAATTTGTTGGAAGATAAAAATACAACAAAAGGGTATGAGAATCAGAAAAAAAAATGCTACGCATCAAAGTGTTAGAGAATAAAAATCAAACAGAAAAATAGGCAATAGAGAAATGACACTGTCCCTCCGAAATTCTATTGTTGGCATTTTTACAGATGTATTCAAACGGTTGGGTCTAAAAACAAACAAAAATCCAAAAGACCGCTGTATGAGACGGCTAAGATGATTAATTCTCTCAGTGCATCCGAACACGTCTTGCCAACATCAAAGCAGCTGCGAGTATTTACCGCCTTCTGAAGGTGGAAAGACAAAAACTGTGACGTGAATGTCAAAAAGGGCAAACTCTAGTTAGAAATGGCGCAAAGGCAGTGCCCTCCTTTAGCCTCAGGCATAACAGAGCTGCTGAGCAGACCCACCACAGCCTACCCCAGAGCGAGGCGGCGGCGGCGGCCAGGCGGGCCCGGGGTTCGGTGCCGCGGAGGCGCGGGCGGCGGCCCCGGGTGAGCTGTTGTGTTGCTCCCTCATTGGCCCGGCGTGGGCGGAGGGAAGAAGGAACAGGAAGCCAGCGGACCCACCGACCGGAGGAACGCTGAAAATTAAAAACGTAACAGCAAGCCCGGGAATTTAGGTGGAGGGTGAACATTCCGAGGGGAAGCAGGAAAAGCCCGCAAAGTCCAGCCCCGATGACCGTCTGCCTTGCAGGACGAACGGCCGCTCAGGAGGGGAGACCCGGCGGGGCGCGGACATCCAGCCCGCAGCCCGGGGGCAATGGCCCGGCTTCGGCGCCCAGCACGACCGGGTCCAGGAGCCCTGCCCCGCTGGCCGGGCCTCGGCCGCACTCACAGCATGATCCGCGAGACATGCAGCCGCACCGGGACGCTCCTGTCTTTGAAGGCGGTGGTGATGAAGCAGCCGAAGGTTAGCGCCGCCATCACGCTCAGCGAGAAGGCGAACAGCGAGTTCGCCCGCGACAGCACCGTGTTCATCGCGACACCTTTCACGTGCCCTGCCTCCTCACGCACACTCCGTCTCCGGTTCAGGCGGCGGACCGCTTCCCTGCGACCCGCGCCGCTTGCGGTGCGCGCGTCCCGGGAGCGCGCCGCCGGAGCCCCGCCTCCTTTCCGGTCCTCTGACGCGCGCGCGCGCACGCGCTTCCCGGGACACACCCACTGGACGGGCGGTACCGCGCCAAGAGGGAGAACTCAGCCGCGGGCCCGCCCCTCCTTTCGCGGCCCAACGCCGCCACCAGTCAGCGACGAGCAAGGGAAGGGCGGGGTTTGTCGCGGAGCACCGCCCCCTCCCATACCCGCTTCCCCTCCTCTGGCCCTTTGGTTTAGAGGAAAAAGTACCAGTCACCCACTTTTCTTTCTGGCTTCTTTAGTTAACTGTCAGGGACTGCGGGGTTTTTCTGTTTTTGGGGGAGTGGAGGGTTTGATCATCATTAATTTTTTTAATTTTATTTTTTATTTTAACATAGTTGATTGTACATATCTGGAGGGACCAGAGTTGAATAGCAATACCTGGGTGAATATATAATGTTCAAATCAGAATGATTAGTTTATTCAACATTATATAATGTAATTGTCTGTGGTGTCCCTTAACTTATTCCTCCCTTACAGCCCTCCCCCTTTCCCACCTCTGGTAACCTCAGTTCTGCTCTCTCCTTATGAATGATCAACATATTATTGTGATTGTTGTATCTGTCTTTCTTTTGTAAATTCATTTGTTTATTTTTTAGATCCCACTGATGAGTGAGGACCTGCGGTATCTCTTTCTGTGCCTGACTTATTTAACTTAACATGATTTTCTCTAAGTTCATCCATGTTGCTGCTAATAGCAACATTTCATTCTTTCTTATGGCAGAGTAATATTTCATTGTGTATATGTACCACATTTTCCTTATCCAGTTGTCCGACAATGGACGTTTAGGTTGGTTCCAACTCTTGGCTATTGTAAAGCAGGTATCCCTTTGACATAATAATTTCCCATTCCTTTGAGTACACACCCAGCAGTGGAATTGCTAGATGGTATAGCAGTTCTATCTGCAGTTGTTTGAGGAATCTCCATACTGTTTCCCATAATGGCTGCTGCACCAATTTACAGCCCCGCCAACAGTGCAGGAGGGTTCCCCTTCCTCTGCATCCTTGCTAGGATTGGTTATTCTGTCTTTCTGATAATAGCTAGTCTAACTGGGGTGAGATGGTATATCAATGTGGTTTTGATATGCATTTCCTTGATGCTGAGTGATGTTGAACATGTTTTCATGTTTCTCTTGGCCATTTGTATATCTTGCTTTGAGAAATGCCTATGCAGCTTATTTGCCCATTTTTAAATCAAGTTTTTTGTTTTTTTTTTTTTACTAAGTTGTTTGAGTTCCTTGTATATTCTGGATATTAATCCTTTACTGGATACATAGTTTGCAAATATTTTTTCCCACTCTGTAGATTGTCTTTTCGCTCTGTTAATTGTTTCTTTTGTTGTGCAGAAGCTTTTCAGTTTGATATAATTCCATTCTTTTTCTTTTGTTGCCTGTGCTTTTGGGGTCATAGTCATAAAGTCTTTGCCCTGTCCTACTTCCTGAAGTGTTTCCTCTATGTTTTCTTTTAGGCATTTTATAGTTTCAGATCTTATATATAAGTCTTAGATCCATTTTGTGTTGATTTTGGTATATGGCAAGAGGTGCAGGATTAGTTTCATTCTTCTATGTATGTTTTTCCAGTTTTCCCAGCACCATTTATTGAACAGGCAATCTTTTCCCCAGTGTATGCTCTTGGTGCCTTTGTTGAAGATCAGTTGGCTGTAACTTTGTAGGCTGATTTCTAGGTTCTCTATTCTATTCCCCTGGTCTGAGTGTCTGTTTTTAGGCCAGTACCATGTTGATTTGGTTACTATAGCTTTGTAATATAATTTGAAAATCAGGTACTGTTATTCCAACTTTTTTTTTTTTTTTTTTTTTTGCTCAGAATTGCTTTGGCTATTCAGGGTCTTTTGCTTTTCCATATTAATTGTATTAATCCATTTCTGTTGCTTATAATAAAATACATGGAATTGGGCATTTTATAAAGAAAATGAAATTTATTGCTTACAGTTTTTGAGGATAGGAAGTCCAAAGTCCATCTGCTGGTGATAACAGTGACCCAGGGGTCTCTCAGTGCAAGATGGTGGAAGCCAAGAGAGCAGAGAGAGATAACTCCTCATGCACTGTCCTTTTTAAAGCCCTCAGAACCATACCCATTACCACCATTATTAATCTATTTACCATGGCATGGTCCTACAATCTAATCACCTCTTCAAGGCCCCACTTTTTGAATATCATAATAGGATTTCCCACCCTCAACAGTTAAAGGTGGGAATTAAGCCTCAATGAAGTTGGGAGGGGGGCATCCAGTCTACAGCATTAATGTTAAGATTGTATTGTCTATTTTTGTGAAGAATGTCATTGATACTTTGATGAGGATTGTATTGAATCTGTAGATAGATTTGGGTAGTGTATTAATCTGTTTTGTGTTGCTATAACAAAATACTTGGAACTTGGTAATTTATAAAGAAAATGAAATTTATCGTTTATATTTTCTGAGGCAGGGAAGTCCAAAGTCCATCTGGGGGTGGTGACAGTGACCCAGAGGTTTTACATTGCAAGATGGTGGAAGCAGAGAGACCAGAGAAAGAGCAAGACAGACTCTTCTCTTCTTTTAAAGTCCTCAGAACCATGCCCCCAACCAACCACCATTTTTAATCCATTCACTACTGCTTGGTCCTATAATCCAATCACCCCTAAGGGCTCCATCTTTTGATTACGGTAATAGGATTTCCCACCTTCTTAACAGTCACAGTGGAGGCTAAGTATCTAACACATAAAACTTGGGAGACAATTCAAGCTTCAATGAGTTTGGGGTGGACATAAGCCAATCCACTACATTCTGCCCCAGCCTCCCCAAACTTGTGTCCTTTTCACATACAAATACATTCATTTCATCCCCAATGTCTTAATTTGTTTTAACTCAAAGCTCCAAGGTTCAAAGTCCCATCTGTGAAATCAATACAAGTTATCTACTTCCCAGATACAATGGTGGGACAAACATAGAGTACATATTCCCAGTCTAAAAGGGAGAAGTTGGCCAAAAGAAAGGGGTAACAGGTCCCAAAGAAGTCCAAAATCCAGCAGAGCAGGCATTAAATCTCAAGGCTGATGAATCACATACCTTGACTCCATGTTCTACCTCCTCTGCACACTGCAGTGGGGGTCCCCAAGTCCTTGGGCAGCTCTGCTCCTATGGCTTCCCTGGTCACAGGCCACACTTCAGCTCTACCAGGCTGTCATTCCACTCTGGTAGCTCCACAGGTCTGGGGTCTCCATGGCAGTCTCACTCCCATGGCTCCACTAGACAGGGCATTGTTGGGGTTTCTCTGCTGTAACTCTGACCCCACGTTTCTGCTTGGCATTGCTCTAGTGAAGGCTGTCTGCAGTGACTCCACTGCTGCAACAGATCTCTTCCTGGGCCCCCTGACTTTTCCATACATCCTTTGAAATGGGGGTGGAGGCTCTCAAGCCTCCACAGCCCTGGAATTCTGTGAGCCTAAAGACTTAACACCACATGGATGCCACCAATGCTTCTGGCTTGTATTTTCCAAAGCTGTGGATCCAGCCACAACTGGGGCCAATTTAGCCATGGCTGGAGCAGCCAAAGCACTTGGGGTGCTGGTGCTGGAAGCAGCTTCCCCAGGTGGCCCTGGGCATTGAGCCTTTGGAGTGCACCTCAGGCCTGTTCCCCAAGACCATTCTATCTTCCTAGGCTTTTGGGCCTGAAATGGAAGGTTGGCCCCAGAGGCTCCTGCAATGCCGTCAGGGCCCTTTTCCTCCTTCTCTTGATAATCTTTCTTTTGTACTAATCTTCTTAGCACCATTGGATTATTCTTCTGAAAATGCTCTCTGCTTCTCTACCACATAACCAGGCTGCAAATATTCCAAATCTTTGTGCCCTGCTTCCCTTTTAAATTCTGGCTTCATGTTGTGCCTTTGCCACCATAACTCAGTGTAGGCTGTTGCAAGTAGCCATGCAGCTTCCTTAATGCCAAAGCATAAAAATTTCTTATGCCAAGTACTCTGGTTCACAACTCTTAAGTTCCAACTTCCACAAAGTCCTAGAGCATGGACACAATGCAGCCAAGTTCCTTGCCAGCAAGGGTGATCTTTGCCCTAGTCTCCAATAAACTCCTTCTGATTTCTATCTGAGACCTCCTTAGAATGGTCTTTACAGTCCAGATTTTTATCACCATTCTGCTTCTCCATGTAACCAGTCTCTAAGACACTAAATACTTTCCCTCATCTCTTTGTCTTCTTCTGAGTCCATGCATAACCTCCATCCCTGCTACCATGGCCACTTTGCTCATGAGTGCACTGGATGATGACAGCGGTGGCTGGAGAAAGAGGCTGACTAGTATCCACAGAACAGGTCATTCTGCCCACCTGATTATTAAAGTCCTCCTCTGCTGAGGTCACCCTTTGGTGGGCATTTACATGAGAAACAAATATCTTTACATCCTCTGCCCACTCAGAGAGGTCCATCCATATAATTTTTCCCCAAATTTCTTTCTCACGAATTTTCCAGTCATGTTCCTTCCATGTCCCTGACCATCCCACCAAACCATTGGCACTTATCAGTGTATAATCGCACATCTGGCCATTTCTCCTTCCAAGCAAAGTGCACAACCAAGTGCACTGCCCGAAGTTCTGCCCATTGAGAAGATTTCCCCTCACCACTGTCCTTCAGAGATGTCTCAGGAAAAGGGTGCATTGCCACAGCTGTCCACCTTCAGGTGGTGCCTGCATATCATGAGGAACCATCTGTAAACCAGGCTCTAGCTTTGTCATCTTCTGTCAACTGATCCTAGGGAACTCCCCATGAGGCCATAGGCGCAAGCAGGGAAAGAGAAGACAGTGTAGCAGAAGTAGAAACCATGGTCAGGTGGGCAACTTCTTCATGTAACTTACTTGTGCCTTCAGGACTGCTTGGGCCCGATCACATATGTACCATTTCCATTTGATGACTGAGTGCTGCTGTGCACACCCAACCTTATGACTTGCTGGGTCA